GGCATCGCCTGGCCATGTCCTTGATGCTGCTGAGCAAGAACTCTTCCTGCAGGGAGCGGATCGTGAGCTTCAAGCGCTTGACGTAGGACGCACGTGTCTCCTTCTTGCCCTTGGGAAACTTGATCTCCTGCTTGCGAAGCCTTTTATTGACCTCAGCCCAGATCGCATAGTCGAGCACGGACAAGTCGGGGTTTCGCTTGGGATCTGGCAGACATTTCAACCGGCTGCACGCTTGGCAGTGATGCCATTGGCGGACTTGTGCCCAGTCGGGTCGCTGTCCTCCAAAATGGTGAACTTGTGCTTTCCGGGCGACACTTTCGCCAAGTCCCGGGCGAGGACGCGATAGAAGCTTGCGGCAGCTTGATCGCTCCAGCGACCATCAACGACCTCGTGCACAGTCACTGCCTTGGCTTTCCCAATCCCCACATGTAGGAGCACACCCGTCGCGCCGGTGTTGTAACGCAGATTGCCCGCTTTGGGCTTAACGTAACCGCCACACGAGCCCTACGATAAGCGCCGTAGGTGCTGTGCTGTGCCGCTCGAAGTCACTCCTTGCTGTTGAGGTAAACCTTGCAGTGCTTCCCTCCATGAAGGCATCAAGGCGGTTCGCCCACCAGGTTCCCGTTTTGCTGCGGTACTTCTTCGCGAACTTGAAACGGTCCCTCACATACTCTCCGGTGTGATAACGGTTGTGTCTCGCAGCTTCCGGAAGAAGATGTGGCGCTCGATCATGCAAGGCCCGTAGTATAGTTCGGCAAGAGGCTTTGATCTTCGCAGCTTTCTGCAACATCTCCACCGTCACGGTGTGCTGCCCGTCCGCCTTAGTGATCATCTGATCAAGCTTGCACTCCAAAAAAGTCGATCTGAGCTTTGGTGAGTGCGCTAGGCCGGCCCTGCTTGTTCACAGGCTTCTGCACACACACACACACACCAGGCGGGTAATTGATGATGTGTCCCTGCCGAGCAGGTCGGCGATCTCGGACGGCTGCTTCCCCTCGGAGTACCAGTTATTTGCCCACTTGCGTTCGTCCGCCGACATCTTTGTCCAGCCAGCTTCCGGCATGGCAGTAGTAGACGGCGTGAGCTAACCGCGCGGCTGCGGGCTTGAGTTCGAGACTGGCAAGATCGAAAGCAAAATGCAGAGAGCACGAAGTCTGCAAAGTCTTACAAAGATGCATATACACCTTTCCGAGGACGGATCGATTCCCGTGAAATGTGGGCGTTCTGTTTGGTTAGGCATGTCCTTCTGCTTTCACAGCGACGGCGAAGTCCCGTGATCTGCACGCACATTGCGGTAGCACGAAAGTTCCTAGCACTCCTGCACGTTGCCCTTGAACGCCTTGCAAACACGTCCCACGTTAGACCCCTCCACCCAGTCCTCCGTCGGGAACATTATAGTCAACTATAGCAACTATAGTAGTCCATGACTCCACTCCGGTGGATGAATTCCTCCACTAGCCAGCCCACGTCAAATACACTTATGTGTGGTACCCCGCGTCCTCCGAATGATGGTATAGGCAAGTGCGACGAAACTTTGTTCCTGGCCATGTCTAACAGTTCCACCAACGATTCGATGTCTTCGTACTCTTACATCTGAGTCTCTTAGTGAAGACGGACCGACATTGTGCCCGGTTTCG